AAAACTCCACTTGTAGTACAAATCACATAGCACTATATACATTAAGATATTGATATTGATTTCCTTGTTATAATATTGTTCTATAATTATGTAAAATATAATCATTGAGGGAAACTGAGTGATGGATACACAGGCTTTCTTTGCACTATCTATGCAACTTCCTGTAAATCTACGATCATTGCAAAATACAAACTTTAAAAAACAAAGATTGGGGCTGTTCAGGATTAAAAGTAGTTAAAGACAGGAACCAGCAGTTGGCATAATGGCTATGTCACAGGACTTCCATGTAGTCGACAACAGTTCAAGTCCTGGACCCGGTGGCTTTAACTCATGCTGGGCGCATATGCACGCGTGCCCAAGGTCCTGAGAGGAGAATGGAGGAGAAGGGATTGGAGCATGGCCATCCCCCCTGAGGGGCGATTTCTCGCTTTCTGTCTATCTGTCTCTCTCTGTCTTTCTGGCAAGCGCACATGCCCTATAGCAAAAACCTCTTTTAAAAAAAAAGTAGTTGAAGACACAAAGACAATGTGATCACCATGATTGTATTTTGATTTCTTTTTTTTTTTCTTTTAGGGGTTTTTGCAATAGGGCATGTACACTTACCGAGGAGAGAAACAGACAGAAATAGAGAGGGAAAGTGAGAAATTACCCCCAGAGGAGATGGCCATGAAATAATCCCTTCTCCTCCATTCTCCTCCCAGGATTTTGGGCATGCACCCACATGTGCCTGGCATGATTTTCAAGCCATCAGATCTGCGACTTGAACCTTCGTTGACCATGTCCAGCACTGTAACCGCTACACCACCTACTGGCCTTGGATTCTGATTCTAAAAATATAAAAGGAAAATTTTGTAAACTTTGAATATAGGCTAACATTTAGATGATATTAAATTATTGTAATTTTTCCTGGGTGTCATGATAATATTGATGTTATGTTAGAGAATGTCTTTATTCCCAAGAGATACATCCCAAATTATTTAGAGATGTAATGAAACATATCCAAATGGCTCAGAAAAAACTGTAAGTAGATAAAAGAAAGAACAAATGTAATAAAACATTAACAATTGCTGACTCAATGAAGAAGGCATAAGTGATGTTCATTGTACTGTTCATTCAACATTTTTGTAAGTTTGTAAATTTTCATTTTTTTAAAAGAATTATTTATTTAATTTTATTTATTCATTCATTTATTTTAATTTGACCAGAGAGAGACAGAGAGAAAGAAAGAGAGACAGAGACAGAGAAGGGGGTGAATGAGAAAGCAAAGCCACCAGGTCTAGGACTTGAACCATGGTCGGCCATGTGGGAGTGTCCAGCACCTTAACCACCACACCACCTACTGGTCCTGTAAATTTTTATTTTTAAGAAAGCTGAGGGAGAGAGACCAGCAGTTAGCACAATGGCTATGTCACTGAACTCCCATGTAGCTGACCACGGTTCAAGTCCTGGACCTGGTGGCTTAAACTCACACCGGGCATGTGTGCTTGTGTGCCCAAGATCCTGAGAGGAGAATGGAGGAGAAGGGATTGCAGCATGGCCATCCCCCCTGGGGGGTAATTTCTCGCTTTCTATCTCTCTCTCTGTCTCTCTCTGTCTTTCTGGCGAGCACATGCACCCTATAGCAAAATCCTCTCCAAAAAAAAAAAAAAGAAAAGAAAAAAGAAAAGCTGAGGGAAGGGACAAGTAGATGGCATAGTGGTTATGTCGCTGGACTCCCACATGGTCAACTGTAGTTTAAGTCCCAGACCTGGTGGCTTGAAAATCATGATGACTGCTGTGCGTACATGCCCAAGATGCCAGGAGACTAGAGGAAAAGAGATTGCAATGTGGCCATCCCCATAGGGGTGATTTCTCACTTTTCCTCTCTCTGTCTCTGTCCCTCTATCTGTCTCTCTTGCTCTCTGGCTAGCACATGCACCCTAAGACAAAATCTATAAAAAAAAAAAAAGCTGAGGAAATATGTAGAGGATAGGTATATTATAATGCAAGTATAGGGACCAGCAGGTAGCATGGTGGTTGAAGTGCTGGACACTCTTACATGGCCGACCACAGTTCAAGTCCTGGATGTGGTGGCTTGCTTTCTCACTTCCCCTCTCTCTCTCTCTGTCTCTTTCTCTCTCTGGTCAAATGAAAATAAATGGCTAAATAACTAAAATTAAATAAATAATTCTTTTTTTAAAAAAAATCAAGTATATAATGTCCATGAAAATCTAGGTGGTGCAGGGCCAGCAGGGCCGCTGGACTCCCACATGGCTGACCATGGTTCAAGTCCTAGACCTGGCAGCTTGCTTTCTCACTTTGTCTCTCTCTCTCATTCTTGTTCTCACTCTGTCCCTCTCTGATCAAATTTTAAAAAATAAGTAAAGTTAAATAAAATAATTCTTTTAAAAAATATGAGTGGTGGGTAATTGGGGGTGTTCAGTTTAAAAAATTATCAATTTTCTGTATGTTTGAAAATTTTCTCATTTAAATATGAGAGTAAAAATCATCAAGAAATAAATATCACAACCTGGTGTCCTCGCCTAGCATTCCCAATCCATCTTATTATACTTTTTCTTTTCCTTTTTTAAAAGTTTTTTTTTTAAATTATGTTATTTATGATAGAGAGCACATGCACATGAGAGAGAGAGAGACCACCAACAGATCTGGTCATGCTGCAAGTCTCTTTCCCCAGATCCTTTTCCCCCAGCCCATGGGGATCTCAGTTATACACATGTATGCCCGGCATCTTTCAGGTCAATGGGGCCAGGAACTTGAACCTGTGGTCAGCCATGTGGCCTCCAGCACTGCTGTTCAGTACACTTCCAACTTCACCACAGAGGCTGGGTCAACTTTTTCTTTATTCCACAACACTTATCACCATATTATATAATTCACCTACTTAATGTGCTTATTTTCATCTGTGTCCTCTCACTAGAATGTAAGCCCCTCCAAGATCAGGGATTTGTTCTGTTGTTCTGTTTGTTTTTGTTCTGTTAGCTGCTATAGCTCCAAATCCTAGAACGGTGTGTAGCACATGGCAGGTGTGCCATGAAGATGGGTTAAATTAAGAATGAATCTCTGGGTTCAGCCATGATGGTGCAGACAGTAGGGCACTGCTGTACAATACTGGATCCACATAGGGGACCCATGTTTGGATTCCAGATTAACCTGAACACCCTGGGCATTCCCACATGTGCCTGTGATCCTGGCCAGCTGGGAGGCTGGGAGAAGAATTGTAATGTGGCAAGACCCTGTCTCTTCCTCTCAATAAACAAACAAACTTACAAAAAAGAATGAATCCCTATGTCCCTAATACCTATATCAAGGTCTTTCACAAAAAACTCAGTGAATATTGACTTGAACTGAGATCTAAGTTCTTTGTTTTGTGTGTGTGTGTGTGTGTGTGTGTGTGTGTATTGATTGATTGATTGATTGATGTTTGTGCTAGAGGAAGCATGCACTCACCAGAGAGAGACAAAGAGACACAGAGAGAGGGCAAGTGAGAAAACACCCTCCATGGGGAATGGTCATGCCATGATTCCTTCTCCTCCAAATGTTCCTCCTTTGGGGATTTTGGGCATCTATATACATGTACCTACTGTGTTTTTTCAGCTGCTGAATCTAGGACTCAAACCTTGCAGTCAGCTATATGGGATCCAGCTCCTTAACCACAAAGCCACAGGCTGGCTCTGAGATGTAAGTTCTGCAGGAAAACTTAGAATAGATCTGTTGTACTAGAGTGGTTCAGCACATGGACTCTGGCATCAAATGGCCAGGATCTTTATCCTGATTCTGTCACTTCCAGGTGTGTCGCCTAGATGTGTTAACATCTCTGAGCCTCAATTTCTTACCGGTAAAATTAAGATAGTAACAGTACCTTATAGATAAGTTTTTCGTTTTTATGTAAAGCACTTAGGACTTTAAAAGGACTCAGAAATTGGTAACTAAAGAGAAAACAAAAGCAATAAAGAGGTAGTCTTTCTGGTGTGTCATCCTTCCTCCGTCCCCCAGTGGGCTTAGCCAAGAGAGGCTAAAGAGATGTCCTTGGGCATGTATTCCCAAATTCTTCTTCAGGCCCACAGAATGGTTTCTCTCACTTCACATCTCTTTCTATCTTTCCTCCTGTCCTGGACTTCCTATCCTCTTGGCATCCTACAGTTCCTTCCCCCATCATAACTATGCTGAGGTGGAGTGGAAGAGACAGGAGTTTGCGGACTAGGGACCAGAACTTAGAGCTTTCTGTTATTCCCTGTTCTAGTGTGAGCCCCTAACTAGGAAGGTCAAGTGTGAGGTCGCGGTCATTTCTGGGCCTAGAGGTTGAGAGAACAATAGTCCTGAGGAGGAGGCAGTGACAAGAGAGAGAAGCTCATAAGCTGCCCTCTTCCTTGGTCCCCTGTAGGAAAGAGCTCCTCCCTCACCCTGCTCTAATATTCTTTCAGTCTGCCCTGCTGCCTGAAATCTACTTCTGGTGGCCCCAGCTCAGAGCAAGCCCAGGGACCCATTGAGCATCTCTAAGCAACTCCCTCTTGGAAGTGGGGTGGGGTGGAGTGAGAGGAGGAAAGGCCGAAATTGGAGATATGGGGGCACGAGATTGAGTGCCTCAGGTTTCCCATGGCCCAAGTCCTCTGTCTCCACCCTAGGTTCCGCGATGCCCCAGAGATCTGGGGAACTGGGGTTGAGTTTGGGGCTCCACTGCCTCTGTTCCTTTAAGGAGCCGCTGT